CCGACTCTACCCGGGGGTACAGATTGGATCAAACTGCTCAAGTCCAAACAATGTGGAGGAAACTAACACCTCAACAAATGATAAATGTACTCAGGCATCCTACAAGCTACATCTGCCTAACTCCTTCACAGAGCTGGTCAGCAGGTCAGAGCTCCCAGCCCTGACTCTGCCTTTCCTAGGAAGAAGACCAAACTCCCACCAGCCGCCCTGTATGCAAGGCCCACCCAGCGGAGACCTCAAAACTGATACTCTCCTGAAGCATCTGGTGTCTGTTGCTAGAAAAGCCTGCCTTGGGCAATCCCTGGGCTCTGAGAAACTCTGCTCCAGAGAAGACCTTCTATGAGGAAGGCCTGCTCTGCCTGTTATGCTCCGACCCTTAAGCACACAAGACTTGCACACTGTCCCACAAGCCCTGCTGAGCAGTGCCGGGAGAAGTTATGGAAGCAAAGGAGATCTCTATGGGAAAAGATCCAAGAAAATCAGAGAAATCTGAGTGAGAGATCAGGATGACTAGCTGATGGATGTGGCATGAGCATCAACAGGAAAAGATGGTCAGGCTGAGAGAAGGAAGCTGTGCCCTGCTATCTATATGGAGGAACAACATTTGGAGATACTGCAAAAGCCCAAAACAGTTTACAGTAAATCAAGAGAAGTAAAGCCAAAATGGTTCAAAATAATACCTAAAACACCGAAAAGAAATGTGTGTAAAACTGAGAAGACCTATTGACAGGAGGGGTACAATATATACAACAAAGCCTGAGAAACCAGAACTTAATATGAGACCCATCACTGAACTGATAGACAGGCTCAATGCTTCTGAGTGGAGAGTTCCTTCAATAATAAAATAACCAACTACATTATCATTCTAGCTGATAGTGTGAGGTTGATACTTAGACATGACCATCAGGTGTGACCTTGGATTCTGACAGATCCAACTCTTGCTGCAAGGGGAACTTAGAGCTCCCATTAGTGGGAGCTGGACAAAGACAACTCTTGAGACTGGGTTCAGAATTCCTGGATATGCAATATTGGCACAATGCTTGCCTCTGAGGAAGCATTTCTTCCTGTATGTGTGAAGAAGGATAACCATTACCGCCCCTTGACCATCTCCCCAGTGATTTGCCAATACACAGAGAAGCCTCTGGGTTGGGTAGGAGTGTTTCTTGCCTTTGAGATAGGATATATGAGTTTTTTAATGTTGCCAAGAGTTTCTTTACAATGAGGTACTCTGCTAGATCCTTGAATATCCATCCCTGTCAGGTTTTTTTCCACACTGGCCACAGAGGAACAGGGTAAGTCGGGAACCTGACTGTGTGCCTAGGAGCTCCACATTGGAAGGAGCCCTTCTTGGTTGAAGAAATCAGTAATACAGTACTATCTTTTTCTTTTTCTTTTTCCCCTACTTTTTGTAATCACATTTTATTGCTAGGTAGAAAGATAATGTGAAATGAAAACATTTTATTTTATATAAATTAAAAGCATCTCTTCTGGCCCATGACCTAAAACATTCTGTGCTTGAAGAAAGAAAAGGAAGGAAGGAAGAGAGGAAGGTAAGGAGGAAGATGGGGGGAGGATGGAGGGAGAGAGAAGGAGGAGACTGTTAATATACTAGGAGTGGAGTTGGCGCAAGTGTGACTGAATTAAGGATCCCAACTCCATAATCCATGCTAAGGAGTCCTCAAACTCAGGCCTCCATGCATGTTTACTTTGGTTCTAAGGGACCCATAGTAATGGTGTTGAAGACAGCTAGTGATCACTAGCTCCCTTTTTCCCGCCTGGAGTTCCTTCACTATAGGATGGGACAATTCCACACTCTCCTCTTAGGGACCAGGGCTCCAGCAGGGCACTCAGGTACCAGTCTCTAGTGAGATTAACCTGGTGACCTGAACTCAACCCCTCCCTTGCTCCTCACTGCCCTCTCCCACCTTCTTTGCTTCGGAGCAAACCCCTCAAAGCCCAGCTACACCTCTCCACTGCTTTTGCCCTAAGTGCTGAAGCCTTCAGACACACTGCCAGATACGGTTATTTGTTCAATGTCTGCCTTAGCACCCCGAGAGCAGAAGGGCCTCTTGTGAGTTTCTAAATTACCCATGGAATCTAGCATCACACCAAGAACACAGTATTGCTAAGTTAAGGCCTGAAGATCCTGCAGCAATAGGCAGATGCTGCCTGCTCCTGCTGGCATAGCAGGGATGACTTTACTATCCCTAGTCCCACTAACATTTTCTGCCTCCAGGAGAGGCTCAGCTTTGGAAGACAGTAATGATGGCATTTACTGAATGCCTGCCACACACAGACCAGGTCGCATGTGCACTCTCCTTGGTCCTGCTAGTGCTCTCCAGACATAGGCAGGCACAAACGAGGCTCCCATCCTCAGCCCCGGGTGAGGGGTGAAGCAGGGCCAAGACAGAAGCAGTCCTGTGTGATCCACAATCTTTACTCTTAGCCTCCCCAATACTCAAATGGCAGTGACTTTTCCTATCCTGTCCAGAGCAACTGAGTGCCGCCTTCTGACAACAACCAGCAGAGTGGAGCATGCAGCTCAGAAGCTGCAATGCTGCCTGACCCTGGGCAGCTAACTCTGGGGCCTAGCTATGCCTTGGTGGAGACAAGAGTGAGTGGCTCTCTCCTTCCGGTGACAGTGCCTCAAATACATGAAGACTAAGAGTAAGGCTTCCTCTTCCCAGCCCAAGCATACCCAGATCCAGCAGGGCAGCTCCATTTAAATAACAAATTTGCTGGTGCATTTAAATACAACCTGAGTTACTCAAATTCAATTTACACACAGAACTTTAGGAATACATTACATAAGGTGCTGCTGATTAAAATAGTAGGGTGACCCTTAATGAGGTTACTGGATTCTACTCTATACTCATGTCAAACTGACATTTAAATAAAAGTGAGTCGAATTCTTGGGTCAGGTTATCAGTTATAGACTACTAAGCACACTCACTTTCTATATCATTAATAGCAGAAACACAGCACAACAAAAAGCTTCTCACCATAGCTCTGGTGACAGTCAGACACCTGGGCTTTCTGAAACTTACCCTGATCTCACCATGATTCTTTAGTCAGGACTATTCAGCTCTGTGCCCCAGTCACAGGCACTTCTTTGGTTAGGGGTTCTTATGCATCATGTGCATATTAACTACTATAAAAACATAAGTGAGTGATGATGTACAGAAAACCAAGTTCCTTGTTTTTAAGTGAAGACCTAATTCAACAAACCTGTATACTGGGAACCTGGGGATATTTTTAATGTTTTAATGCATCTCTCAAAAAAAAATTAAATATGCTTAGTGGGCCTATTCTTGAAACCACTGGGGGGAGGGAGAAACTATCAACTGCAAGTGTGCATGACAAACTGGCTAGATTCTTAGGCTGGTGAAATCTAATGCTGACTATTTACACAATGACATACGGAGCTTAGGAAGCAGGCGTGGCACTTTCCCAGCAACTAGTCTCAACAGCCTCTTATCCAAAAGCATTAGAAAGAAAGTAAACTTTAAAATGATTTGAAAGAAAAGCCTATTTTCATGACAGATGGCAATAAGTGTCCTTCAATGCCAATTTAATCACTTTGCCTCAATTTTCAAATGCTTAAGTCCTAGTTCTCAGTGTCTGTGCAAGCAACACTATAGCTGCTGAATGGGATGGGGCAAAGAGGGCAACTAACACACACGTGGGTTCACCACCTTGAAGAGCAATTCTACCAACTCAGGGAAGTAGTACTCCTCAGCAGATACTCGTCTTACAGCATCAAGAAAGTTCTAGTCTTATGAAAGCCATTTTTATGTTACAAACATAGAGCTGTTTCACCTGGAAGCAAAACTTATATAATAATTTTTATAAATATAACTTGCATAGTCACTTTGTACTCCAGTGACTTACAGACAGGAGAAACAGTCTCTGATACTTTATTTAAGCAGAGGCTTTTGATAACTTACGAGGAATGGATGTCCTGATCCTCATCAAAGGAGACTTCAGGACTGGGTTGGAACCCTGACTTTCTCAGCTCCATCTCAACTTGAACCTTTTCCAGGCAACCATTTGAAAACTATCCCACCTTATGGTACTGTTTTACACTGGAACTATATATATGTTTTCAAAAATCATTTTTAATATTAGACTTAAAAACTTTAATCTAATGAGAAAATGTGTCTACAGGTAAAGTAGTGTGAAAACACTAATCTCCGAGGCTTCAACACCAGACTAGAAAACTACTCAAGGACCACGGGCTTTTTGCCTTTTGGAGACTAACATGCAAGTTGTGCCTGCTACTTCACATTTTTGGTAAAGCACCCCAGGTATAAGGCTGACATGAGAGCTAGCATCATACTGTCCTCCCACAGTAAGTTCAAAGTGCACATGCAGCAGCACATAGGAAGTCACGGTGCCAACACCAACAGACATCCCCAGCCTCACAGAGATGAAACTTGTCCTGGCATCCAAAGTGGCAGCTGAGTATAACATGCTAAGCCAGAGAAAGCCATGTCTTGCAGAGTTCCTTGTCCAAACCCTGAGTGGAGAACTCAGACATTTGTCTGGCACCTTCTCCAAGGGACCAGAAAGCATCAAAGGACACCTGTATCGCAGCAACGTTAACCAAATTGATGAGGGAGTAAATTACACAGCCTTTTTCAAATTAAGCAACATATTTAATAGAACATTAGAGAATATGTAGAAATTTGTGGTTAATGAAGACTGGCAATCACTAGCCTGAAAACTGGAAGTTTTCTGGGGATAGGTACTACTCTCTCCACTCCTCTCCCTGTGGGCCTGCTGCCTGCGCCCTCCCTGGAGCTCCCCTGGTGGCTAATGAGGGGCCCACTGCAGGCCTCTGGGCACCCTGGCAGCACTCATCAGCCTCTGTGCCTGGGGTAAACAAGGCCCATGACACAAGGTCAACATTCACAAAGTGCTCAGGAAGTAAGATGGTTTGCATAAAAGCTTCACTCAAAGGGCCTGTCCCACTCCAAAGAAAAGGAACAGACAAAAACATTAATCATATTTTCCTTTTAATAAGGGTTTTTACTCAAAAGAGTAGCTTTGAAAATCTCTAGCTTGTTGTGAAAACCAGAAAAGCCAGGGAGCCGCCTCACCTTGAACACCACTACGTAAAGCGTGGGCTGCTGTGTCTGCAAACTCTCCTTTGCCAATACTGGAAATCAAATGTGCCACTTTGAAATCAGAGCCAACATTAAAATTAGGAGAAGGACGCATGTCCTACTTGGATTTAAGGAAAAGGACAAGTTCTTAATACAGCGAAACAAAAACACAAAAAGTAAACAAATCTTTAGAAATCATTAGATACGTGTGTGTATATATATATATTTATATAATCAGGATTATTATCAACATTTAAAACTATTAAAAATAAGGTTGCCACCTTACCTTTTTGTTTGGTACTGGGGTATTATTTTTTTTTTTTAAGGAGGAAAGAAAGATTTCACCCAGACTCTAAATGCAGTTTCCTAACTTTAACCCTGCTTTCTGCTGTGCCATCTCCCACCTTCCACTGAACACTCAGAGTTCCACCATCAACTCTGCTGGCGGGAGGCAGAGCCAGCTTTCATTCTGCCGTCAAGAAGACTGCCTCACGAGAGCACAGCTGAGCGAGGAGCTGAATTCTTCCCCAGGAAGAAAACACAAGTGCCCACTACGGGTGTGCAGGATCTTCCACAGGCACCTCTTCCCCTTTGTTGCTATTAACTTGTTTGTTTTGCCTAGAAGCAAGCTGGCAATCTTAATCAAAAAGGGAAACTAGATCTTTAAAATAACTTAAAAAATCATTTTTATAGAAAGCAGCAAAAACATATTTTCCTCTCTGCAGAAAGAAAAATGTTAACAAGGAACACAGCGATGTAAGTGGACTGTTCAAAACTTCAGCTAAACTGGATTTCCCAACGGAGTGCGAGGCATCTCAGAGCTGCTCTTTCACTTTGTCAGTGCTATCTGAAGATTCTTTGGCATCTTCAATCACTCTTTTCCTTTCTTCTGGATTTAAGTTTTCGTTTTCGGACCTGGTCCCATTGGGGATAGAGTTTTCGCCATTGATGAGCCCGTTTTCGGCAACCTTAGCTTTACTGACAGCCTCCTTGAGGCTTAAGGCCTCCTGCCCACCCGTCTCCTCCTCGAGGTTTCTCAAGACCAGTGGGAGCCTTGAGTCCCCCACACCGCCCTCCAATAGCCCAAGGTCACTCTCCTCGTATTTGGGGAGCGGAACCCTCTCCTCCATGTGTTTGCGGTAATATTCCCGGCTGGCAGCTGCACTCTTCACTGCTTTTTCCAAAATCTCCTTTTCACCTAAGCGCAATTTAATGGCCATTGTTGCACGAACAGAAAGGTCATGGTTTTTCAAAACAGCCTTATCTTCCTGGAAAACAAAACAGAACAGAATTAATAAGAAGTCTAAATCAACAAAGCTACAGTGATAGGCAGGTTAGCTGCAGGGACATGATGAGACTTAGGCTTCTAGAAGGTTCTAGAATTGACTGTGCAGGTGCTCACATGACTGAACATTTGCATGGAAACTACACTTTAGGCTGTGAATCTTATTTTAGTAAGCTATACCCCATAAAACTATTGTAAAATGAAAAGATAACCTAAGTCAGAGGGGCCAACACAGGACAGCAAATCTCATTGGATTTAGTAGTCATCTTGACCCATTCCTGACACGGCCCCACATGGTACCTGGGTGAAAGGCACCAATGAATGAATGAAAAAGAAGTCTTTGAGCTAGTGGCTCAAAGTCAAACTTTGAAAGCAAAAATGTAAACTTAAGTGAAAACATATGAATTAGAAATTATAAAAAACATACATTTAAAAAAAATTTAATCTTTTCATCAGTAACTCTCCAATATGAATTTTTGGTAAGTATAAGTATGTTAAATAAAAAATATTAATATTGAATGAAAGATGTCAAATACACATTTTGATAAAAAATTAGAGTAAGTTACACTTAGGAAGGAATCACTCATTAAACATCTTTAAAAACATACAAATCCTCATTTATCAATCTAATTACCTCAATCGTTGTTTTATATGTTTTTAAAAGAAGCGAGGCTCTATCTTCAAGAAACGTCCAAAGTTTGACCTCATTGTCCCAGCTGACAGGAAATTCAGAGTTACCCAAGGTGAAGATTCTATCGATAGCGTTGTCTCCTAGCAAATGTTCTTTCAGCTCTTCTATAATAAATACAAACAGTAATCTGTTAGGAGGGAAAACAGCACTGCTTCTCACTTTAACAAGCAATCCACAGGAGAAAATCTCTCTTCCAACAATGCCATCTTTCAGCAGCTAAAAGCTCTCCCTGATCAATCAGCCAGGCCATTTCCAGACTCTCAAGACAAAGTTAGAGCTGAGTTTTAGCGAAGGAAAGAGGGAGATCTCCTTTGTTTGGAGGACAGCCTTGACTAAGCACTCTGTATATCACTGTTTTTCTGAGAGACACTGAGAGCCTTTAGATAGTTTCATAAGACACTGTCTGAAGACATTCCATGGCCACACACCCCTTTCTTTGATAACACCTTTCTGCTAGCCAAGGGCTCAGTCATGCCAACTGGGTCAAAAAAGACACTAAGATGTATGATGTAAATAGTAAAAATAAGCAAGAGTCACAACAACCCAGGGACCTTTCTGAACTTAAGGCTGATCTGTAGTTATTTATGGCATCTTATAGCAACTAAGCCACAGATGGAAAGAAACAAGAAAATGTAGGATAAAAATCTTAATGAAAAATGAGCCTCTCTCTCTCACTTGTCAAGAATTTAAGCAGGAATTACAAGTAAATGCAAGTGAACATCTCAATTACCTTCAAATATATTTAAGAAGAGGAAAGAACTCAGCAACTGCTCTGAGCATTTTATCTCCTGGGCACATTATCTCCAAAAGACCAAACATGCCCATCCTATTCATGCTCAAGAAATACATCCATGCTTCTTATGTAACTGTGAGACAGTATCTCTTTCAGAGCAAAATGCCCTACAGCTGTCACTATTTACAATTCAAATTGAGGAACTGTCACTGCCAGCAAACCAACTTTTATTAGTATTAGTTGGAGTAATTCAAAGAATACATCAATTGTCTTGACATGACAAATTGTCTTCCAGTGACTTGAGAGAAACTAAAGAGCATTAACAGACCTAAAATGATTCTTTTTTCTTTTTTAATTTTAAGGAAATAGATGTAATCTAATGCTCAAAAGAAGAGATTTACCCAGTTATATTTGCTAGCAAAAGAACATGATAAAATTCAGAACTTTTAGATTCTTGATTCTTCAGTTTAAATTTTTTGTATAAAGAGATGAAGGTCTTTTAAAAAGCCTCCTTGGATGTAGAAATTTCTTTTCAGAAGCCCAAAATGCTAAGTTATTACTGTCCCTCCTTCCTCAATCAGCTCCAGTTCTCTCCTTAAGAAGGGAAGTGGAAGGGCCAGGGCAGATCTTTCTCCTGCTTCTGCCCATGGTGAGGCTGGACTCAGTTCACATTACTGGAGAGATAAAACCTGCAAAATGGGAATAAGACTATGGAATTTTGTTTGCAATGTTATTTGCTCTAATAGGATGCCTGGTATTAAACATCTCCAAGGTAAAACAGATCAATTTTTTCTTTCTCCAAAACTACCACCTTTCCACTCTCCAAAATGCTTCAAGTAATTTTATCTTTAATCCAAACACCTTGCTTTAATTCTTTCATGAATTAAAAAAAAATCAACATCTCTTCTTTCTTGATACAATTTTTACCTTCGGTCATGCAGAATACTCGGAGAAAAGCCAGAAGTTGGGCAGAAATCGGCGGCTCCGTAAAATGCAAAGCGAAAACACTGGAACTGACAAGAGCAAGAAACAAGATCAGTCACCCTGACTTCCTCCAGAGTCATCTTCAAGGAAAGTTGAGCTGGTCCTATTGTAATACAGAAGGGCAAGTTTTGGTCCTTGTGACATGTGGGACCAGAGGGTCCTGCCAGGACACTAGCCACCTGTACTGGTATGCCTGCATCTAAGGGCCTTAATCTCAGGCAGCAAATTCACATTAAGAGAATTAAACATACCCATGGTTCTTAAAAAATGTGAACAATAATTTATGTTGAGTTCACATTTAAATCATTAATCAAATATTGACAAGCTCAATAAAAAAAAGGTCTGGATAATCCATTTTCATTAAGAATGGTTCCTCCATTCCCTGGAGGACTAATAAATCATAATTCTTGTCTTCTTTATCATTTTACACCTCAAATGCAAGAAAATCTTAAAGAATTTAACCAGAAATTTTTGAAATCACTGAGGATCATGACTTCATTATAGAAACTAATGGTGGCAAAGAATTAAATGAAACAAATTGATCCAGGTCATTAACCTTTTCAAGGTGAAAGACATTAATGACACCGAAGCACTTATTTAACTTAATGAGGACTGCAGGCCACATCCCCTGGAACTGTGAGTGTGCCCAGTCACATGATTCTGTCTATCTGGAAACACTGCTAAACCACCATGCATTAAAATGGTCCAAATGTGCTGTGTAACAGGGATAAAAGGATTAAGACAAACTACTATAGAGAAGTTTTATTAACACACCAATTAAACACTATGCAACTGGAAATACTGCAAATACCATAGGAAAGAGTCGACCAATTTATTTCTACGTACGTTGGGATGCCAGCCCGAGCCAAGACCTCAGCCTTCATGGCATAGAGCCTGTCACTTTTACTCACTCCAAGCTTTATTTTCACTCTGTCATGTGAATTATTGTCAAAGAAAAAGCCACTGTGGATCACAAACTCTGCATTTGACCGAGTGCCATAGAAAATGTAAATCTGAGATGCAATAAAGAAAAAATAAAGGAACATAAAACAAACTTAGCATGCATTCTTTATACAGAGCACAATACAGGATCAATTCTCATATATTTAATGCCACTTTACATCAATGAAACAGAACAGCTTTAAAATCACTACACACCTGTTTGGCACAGCAAGTGTAGCAAGGGTGAAGGTATGCAATTTTCCCAACTTTTCAAACTGTCTGAAAGGGGGAGAGGGCCATGTCAACTATCACTGGGCAGAAGGAGGCCCCAAGGGGCACTGACTAAGGTCTGATTAGGCCCTCCCAGGATGCCAAGACCCTGGGGTCCCTAGGAGTCTCTTCAAACCTTTTGCTCCTGCCCAGGACAGCCAAGCTACTCCTGTAGGACTGCATTGAGAATGCACCACACTTTCTCTCCTTTCAATACAGGAGAGTCCTTTCTGGAACAGAAGTTCAAAGCAACACCTGTCCAAAATCCATTCCTACCTCCTGTGTAATTCTGTACCTAACAGGAGGGTTTAGGAACTTTCCTGAAGAAAGAATAGATCAGCACTTTGTTAGACTGATTTGTTTCATTTTGTCTCAACTGGAACATCAGTGATGTACATGAGTTCCAGTTTTGTATGATCTGCTGGGTTTTGAAACTGTTAAAGAATGCAGGGATTTATAAATATGTATTTTAAAACTGATGGAAAATTTAACCCTGTCTACACCCAAACTATTAGATTAAAAATCACAGATTAAAGAAGACAGATGTTACGGTTCTTGGTTCCCTTATGTTTTTGTTACTTCAATTCTACTTCTTTTAAATACTGCCTCTTTATTAAGAATCAACATTTGACAGAAAGCAATGCCACAGAAAATAAAAAATTATTTTGCTGGGCGCTGGTGGCTCACACCTATAACCCTAGCTACTTGGGAGAGATCAGTAGGATTATAGTACAAGGCCAGTCAAGGCAAACAGTTACAAGACCCTATCTCGAAAAAACCCATCACACACACACAAAAAAAAAATGGCTGGCAGAGTGGCTCAAGTGGTAGAGTGCCTGACTAGCAAGCCTGAGGCCCTGAGTTCAAACCCCAGTATTGCTCCCCTCCACAAAAAAACTGTTTTAGTGTAACAGTGTTACAAATATTAAGCCAACTGTGCAAATAACTACACTGAAATCTTGTTTCTATGTGAACCCAAATAACAATTCAAAGCACAGTGTGTGTATCAGAGCTTTAGGTCTTGAGATGTGCTTCAGAAAATAATCCTAAAGGTAAATGCCATATTTTCTTCCTAAATTCAATACCTTTTTTAAATGACTGGCACATTGATTCAGCACCCACTGGCTGGTCACATTCTGAGGTATACTGCATGAAACCTACCTGCTCTCCTGCCCGAAAATCCTGCAGAGCTACACATTCGCAGCGGTCGTCTTCCAGGTTATAGCCAGTCGTGATCTAGCCACGGGAGAGAGGAACAAAATAATAATGAAACAAACGCACCTCTACTTCACTCTATCATGAGGTTCTCTTTGCAACACAATGATAAAGGTTATCTAGAGGTACTTAAAAGGGTGCATCTGGAGGTTTTCTAAAACTGAGCAAAGAACTGTTGAGTATGTCAACCAATTCTAGTTACACCAGAGATCTGTATGGGAACTTACATACCTGAAACAAAGGAGGTACTCATGGAGAAAGACATTCACTTCTTGTTTTTAACCAAACACAATCCCTTATTACAAAATTGCTTCCTTTGAGTCCCATCTCCATGGCAATGAGTCCGAAGGTAAGAGCACCACAGGTGACAGGAGGCATGCGCCCACACCAGTCCTTATGCCTGTTCACTGGTGATGTGAGGGAGGAACGGTGTCTGGAGGACTCTCACTTACTTGCAAGTATTAATTTTATCTAATATTTAGTCATGAAGAAATCAAAGTGGGACCTGGGGATGGCAGTGGTCTAGCACGCACAATACAAATACTCTCTCTCTCTCTCTAAGTGGGTCTTCCATTGGACACAAAAATCAGGGAACAAGAAAAACTTTCTGAATTATGCTTATATTTATTCTGAAATAAGAGAAATTAAAACTTTCAGGTAAGCAAATGCAAAATAAAATAACATAGTTGTTTCTTATTCCGTCTTTCTGCTGAAATATGTGACAATTTCTAAGCCTGTACGACACAGAAAATCCTCTAATCAAATTATGTCTCCCTCAACCTCTTATTGTCTTGATGAGACCCCAGATATCATGGTCTGTGCATATCAGTTACAGAAAGGGCTGCACTTTTGGCATGTATGGCTATGGTTCTTATTCTTTCTTGTCCAGCTTATTATTTGCAAGACCCTTCCAATTGGTCCCAGCTCCAATACTCCTGGTTCTTCTGCATCACTAATGGGACAGGGTTGACCCCTGGATCGCTTCACTCTGCCTTCAGAAAAAAAATCCTGAGCAAAGCCAAATTCCCAGGAGACCCACACCTTCCCTCAGCCTTAGGACATGCCACGCCAGGCCACCCCGGCCACTGTCCTGGTTCCCTCCAGCCTAAAGCTACCTTCCTTGCACTCCTGCTTTGCCTTGGAAGTTCAGCAGAGACCTGGCTTCTTTAGAAAGGCCTCCCCTCATCCCGTTTCCTTTATACCTCTAAGACCTCATCCTACCTCTTCCCTGGTATATCTGTATACTCGTCTCCCTGCCAGCCAGGAGGGCAGGATTTCCCTTTAAATCAGGTTCCCCAGTGCTTGGCACATAGTACCTACTACCTGACACTACCTTCAAGAAGATTCACTTGGGGCATGAACCCCCAGGGGATGAAGCAGGGCCCCAATTCACAGTAAATGCTCTTTCTCAAGTGTCCCATCCCTCTGAGCAGTCTTCACCCTCCTAGAACTATGTGAATACTCACTGACTTCTTTGGAAACACTCATTTTATCCTGGAGAATCAAAGACTGAAGACAGTTACTTGTTAATATAGGTATTAACCTGTGTCCAAAACAGCATGACTTTTGACCCTTGCACATATTATTTTGGACAGAAGACCAGATAACACTTATATCTCAACCTAGCATGGTTTGTAAGCCATATGTCTAGAAGCCCTTCATGCTTCTGGTCTACAAAGACTAATGAGAAACAAGTGATGAAAAACAAAGCAACCCAAGGGGTTTAGAACATTTTCACTCATAACACTTGACTCAGATTCAAATCAGTTCCATGAAGCTCCTGCCCAATGGCTGATTCACTGCTCTGACCCCAAAACATCGCCTCGATAGCAAATGTAGGATGAGGAATTGCCCTGTGTTGTGAACTCCCAGCAGGAAAAGCTGGATGCTCCCTGGCTGTTAGGAAGGGACCTGCCAATAGCACAAACAGGAGGGAGGGACATTAGGGAACAAGGGAAGCCAGAAAGGAATGCAGTTCTCTCTGTGGAGGAGAACAGGCATTGCCCACTCTTGGTAATGTCAGAAACCATCAGAGCTTAAGACCTATCTTAATGTGTCCACACCAACACTCATATAAATGTGACAGGCCTTGTCCGTTCTGTCACCTTTCTCAGCAAGGATCACAGTTGGAGGTTGAGTATGTCAATTTTCTATGTGGCACTGCCAAACACATTCTCAAGGTTCTATCAAAAATTCATCTCATAGCCTACAGAATGGGAAGAAATCTTTGCCACCTACTCATCTGTTGGGGACTAATATCCAAAATATATAATGAATTCAAAATATTTAAACACCCAAAGAATAAATAATCCAATCAATAAACGGGCAAATGAATTGAACAGACAATTCTCAATAAACTTCCCATAAATACATGAAAAAATGATCAACACTGTTAGCCATCAGGGAAAGGCAAATCAAAACTACACTGAGATTTCATCTCACCCCAGTCAGAACAGCGGTCATCAAGAAAACAAACAACAACAAACCTGGTAGGGAGGTAGGGAAGAATGAACTCTTACGTGCTGCTGGTGGAAATTTAAGTTAGTGCAGCCACTGTGGAAATCGTTATGGAGGTTCTTCAAAAAAACTAGAGTGGTAGAGCTATACCACTCTTGGGTATAGATTCAAAGTAACCCAAGCCAACATACAATAGAGATTATCGGCACACCCATGTTTACTGCAGCACTAGTCACAATAGCCAAGATATGGAATCAGCCTAGGTGCCCATCAACAGATGAATGAATAAAGAAAATGTGGTAGATATACACAGTGGAGTATTATTTTGAGCCATAAAGAAGAAAAAAATTATGTCATTTTTATGCATATTATGTATGGAACTGGAGATTATCATGTTAAGTAAAATGAGCCAGACTCAGAAAGACAAATCTTGCATGTTTTTTTCATATGCAAAATCTAGATTTAAAAAAAAAAGATATAAAAGTACAAGGGAGACTATTTGGGAAGAGGAAGGGGACCCGTAAGAGATGGGGTAAGAGAATACAAAAAGGGTAGTGTTGGATAAATATGATTGATGTACATTATATACATGAATGAAAATGCCATAATGAAACCCATTGTTTTATACAATAAAAGAAGAGTAACTATCTCAGTGCAAGAAGCTCCAGGCCAAAGCCAGGGAAAGCCCCCATTTCACTCAAGGCAGGTTTCTAAGACTGGCAGAGCAGCACACTACCAGGGTGTGCATTCTTAGCTCTACTCTCCTTGGGAACACCGTCTGCAATTTATGAGAGCAGCAGAGGCAACCAGAAGACTTTCTTAGGACCCTACTCAGCAAAGGCCTTCTACAGAAGCCCTGGAAATCTGGAACACACAGCCAACAAGCATCCCTAACTCCATGGTCACAGAAAGAGATGCTGAATGGTCAGGGAGCTGGTCCAGGTGCCTCCAGGCTCTGTTACCATCTCCTCACCCAGCTCTGTGTGATATGTGACACATAATATACTTGCCCAGCTAACTCCATTCTACAAATATTTAAGTGCCCACTCCACGCCAGGCCCTACACTGGGCCCTGGGAAAATAGTATGAAAAAGCCTCTGTCCCTGCCCATGGGGAAAGTCTAGCAGGGGACATGGGTGTGCTCTTGCATGGCTCCCTGGGTGCCTTGAGTTCCTGGTGGAAGAGAGGGGTATACAGGACATTGCAGTACACAGGTGATTTTGGAGAAGAGGGCACACTCAGCAGGGCACCAGTGCACACCAGGGAGGGTGGCATATGACTGTTATCTGCACTTGGCTTTGTAACTCATGTAGACATGAGAACCAGACCTGCAGCTGTATTCCAGGTTAGTTTACCTGCTAAACAGTAATATAGGAAAAAGAGCATGATACCCAACCCCCTCAAGGTATAAACAGAAGAGTGTAGACCATTTTGATTTTCTTCTTTTCTGTTTTTCAAATTTCTTCATGTGTGCATCATATTATTTTCATTATTGTAGGGAATAAGGAATGAGGTAATACATGCTCATTAAATAAAAGTTGAGAAATAAAGAGGAAAAACAGAAAGAAGAAAAAGATCATAATCTTGCCAACATTTCAGTTTTTTTCTTTCTGGTCTTTTTTCCTAAGCATGGGAATGTATGTTTGACATCCACTTATTCACCACTCATGAACTCATTCGAAATACAGCAGGTGTTGGGATGTGCCGAGGCACTGGGACATGTGTAAGACAAAAGACATCATCCTGCCTTCACAGACTTTCCATCCTAACTGGGGGGAGGTGGTAAACCAACAACAAACAAAATAATAGGCGGGAACATAACATAGAGACAATGTAGGAATACACTAGGACAGGAGGGAGCACTCATAGGACAGGAAATGTGCCTAGTTTACAAAGGGTACTCAGGGTAGCTTCATTTGAGGGCAACTGTTAAGTTCCACATACAGCTGAAAAATGAGTGTCACATGTAGAAGCAATAGTAGGGGCCAAGGCCCTAGGATAAGTGGCTCTGGTATCCAATGAGAAAAGGAAGCCAGAGGTGGGTCAGACCTGTACATGTTGACGGTACAGTGGGGACAGACTGTGCAGGGGACCTCACCCATTATTGTAAAAACTGGGCTTTTACTTTGAGACTAGGATCTAAGTGTTTTAGATTTCTCAATGCACAAAGACCTGTTCAATTCTGCTTAATTTGGAGATATCCTTCCACCCTGACTGGTAGAACACACACCTGTTATACTGGAACCACAACGGTGGCCTGTAAACCATGTAGTCGCATCCTTCTCATGTAAACCGAACAACTGCAAGGAAGGAGAGCTGCTGCATATATGAATTTTGAACAGCTAATGCAAGCTTTAAAGGCATTTTACTTCCTACAGCCTACTGCTGTGCCTTACAGCCTTTTCTAAACCTGTCTCTCCAAGTGTCTAGGACTTTGCTCCCATTCACTAGCATCCCTGGTCTGGGTTGCTGGCCTCATCCTATTGTGCTCTGGAATTACTGATACAGATGGGACTACTCCATTCTGCCATAGCCAGGGTTTGGGGACACTTTTCAAAGAAGACAGTGTTTCTGGATTATAACTTTCTAGACTCCCTCAGTGAGAGTCAGGACAAGCTGGCAAGATGATTGTCGGCACAGACGCACACAAAAAAGAGAAGCTCTTGCTTGAAAAGCCAAGCCTCAATTTCAAGTACTTTATTTTTAAAGAAAGATTAACTGTTAATATGCTAGTATGATATACAACTTTATAGTGTTGAAATAGAATTTCTCATGAAGTCTCAGGACAGCAACGGGAAACAGTTCAACAAAGGTGTAGCAGAATGTTGGGAGAATGACCACTGCAGGAAAACGTGATGGCTTCCTGAAGAAACCTTCTGAAAGCCTGCAGCATTTTGGCCAGGTCTGCAGTAAGTTACAGACTACACAAAATGAAATTAGGGAAAAAAACAGCAAGAGTTGTTATCTGTCCATTATTTTAGTTTGAGATAAACCAAGAAAGAGAATAGCTTTATCCCACTGGCAGGGAAACAAAACCAAAACTGCCTGCCTCCGAATGTGTGAGGTGCCATCAGCAGCCAAAGGACAGGAGCAGACAGAGCTGAGCCAGGCCACAGCACTGGCACCAGGTTGCAGGAGGCCGGATGGGAAGGGCAGGGAGCTTCTTGGTTCACTAGAAACTTGTATGTTCTCTAATTTTTTTGTTTGTTTATGATAAAGCATGTATTCTCTTTTTAACTTTAGAAATAAAAACATAAACTTTAATGACCAGTAGAGTTTGGGAACCAACAATCTAGTCCAAAAAGAAAAGAAAAATACTAGAGCCACATATTAAAATCTTTTTGAAAAAAAAAAATTAAACTTTAGGCTTATGATTAGTTAAGAAAATCTCCAAAGGAAAAAAAACGAACAAAGAATGTAAAATTATACTCATTAATGAAAACATAAAACACGTTACTATTTCTTAATACTGCTAATTAAATTAAGCATATCTAAATTAAGGACAAAAGGTAATTATAAAGTAGAACTATTCTTTCTTGCTATAATTTAAATACTTTTAAGATTCCAGAGAATAATTGTCACTAGACCTCCCCAAATTAGCACAGAGATATTCTATTTTAAGTGTTTGGCGCACCATACGTGTGTTCTGGTCATTTTATGGGATTAGATGTGAAATAATCATTTACGGCACTTCTTTAATCTATTTATAATGCTGCTAATGATAACAAAGAATACTGACATCAAAATGACAACAAAGAAGAGGAGAACAAAAACCAACCAAGCCAGTAGACTAGTATGATGCTTAAAATTTCAAAATTATCTGTAATTTATCACCTCTCTATCTACAACTATCAGGAAATCTTTCTCAGCACAGAGATAGCTTCAATCTAGGCTGTTACTTGGAACCCACACTGTGCTGAGAAACAGAGGGAATGCATCCTCCTCTCCTGGAGGAATTAACAATTATAAGACTTCCTATTTGTTCACATCAACCCAGTGATACCAACTCCTGCATTCAACACCAGGCTCCTGAACAAAGCAGGTGAATCCACACAGCAAAGTGCTGTGAGCAGCAAGCAAAAGTGTCTAACTAGAAAGGAGTTGGCAAAGAAAAAGAAAAGGATCATAAAAGAGAAACAAGAAAGAAAAAATATTTTCTTCAATAAATCAGACCTTTAAAAGAATAAGAAACAAAAACTTTCTTTTTACCTGTGATCCAATAAGATTAAGAAATTAATGTCTTAGTACACAAATACTATTCACTGTGGTTTTTGAAAGTGGTATAATATTCAAGTTCTCAGTACAGAGTTAACACAGTGGAAGATAAAAACCAGCTTCTACTTGAGGGAGTCAGGAGGGGGAGGGGCAGCATTTTGTTTGCCCCTCTTGGCAGAAGGAAGGTGAGTGGAATGCCCACTGGGGAGCTCGGCCCCAGCTTCCCAGACTCAACCCAGGCAAGATTATTACCAGGCCATTGGTGTGATTACACATATCCCATAAAGGAATCAGGGCCAGAGTCACCCGGGAACCATCCTCTGTGGGAATCTGGTTTTGCCGTGTCATGACAGAAGAGACTGCCCACCTGTAATAAGAAGAAAAAAAAAAAAAATGAGTTAAGATTGAAACACTTAAAAGTCAACTAGTAAGAAATAACCAGAAATTAGGTTCCTCTGATCACTAACAAATTTTCAAACCCTTTTTCGTCATTTAAGACAAACCTGAGGGCTGCAGAGAGGCAAGGCAATGACAGAAAAGGAGAGCTGAGAAAAGCAGAGTGAATGACTAGGAAGGACAGGGGAGAGAGCCAGGAGCCAGCGGAGGGCTCAGGCTCTTCAATGGGTCTGGGTTGTCAAAATGACAAAACCTCCCTCCCCCCAAACTGGCTCCCTCTTTTACTAAAAATGCTGACTCTGCACCTACTTTAAGCCTCAGTGAAAAGCAGATGATGTAACTCCTTTTAATCAGACACTCTCTAAGAATTGTATAAAATGTGGACATCATTTTTAATTATATTGAATTAACTCTTTTTGTTCAAAAGGAATCAGTAGCTCACACGCACATAATCTATTTCAAAGTGGGGAAAAAACCCTCTAGCACCAGCCAGCAGTGATGTTAACACCAAGTTCCCTTTGGCCACCTCAGTCAATCCCCTACCATTCCAGGGTGACAGCACTGTCTTGATAGCCATGAATGCTGAGGCTTATCCAAACTGCCTGCTCTCACTCTGAGACCACCTCTGTTTCCATGCTTCCGATGGTCACAGCAGGTCACTTACTGAAGCCCTGCCCCACTCCCAGGACCCCCCATTCTCTTAGAAACTACCCACCTACTGCCCATCCACACACCAACCTGTAGTCCTCGTAAGTGAAAGAATCCTTCAAGGGCAGTTTGCTGGCATGAGGATGGGTCTGGGAGTGAGAAATTTTAGAAAGCAGAGGTGAAAAGAGAAAAAGGGAAAACAGAAATCAGTCAGCAGAATTTCATTATTTAGCTGCCTAACAGATCCTAACAAGAGCCAAATGAAGCAGGAGGCGTCCAGCCGAGCTACTGAGGGATCATCATGCTATTATGCCCTCATACATCACTGTCAACTTAATTTGTTGTGCCCAGCAACTGCCATAAATCTGCTCCTTCACATTTCGATCCTAGAACCCACAGATACCGCACAAAATACAATTTAAGGAGGACCAACTTCACCAAGGCAGGCACGCCCACGCTCTGAGCATCTGCTCCAAGCAGAAACAGAGTTTGCCAAGTGAAGAGCCCATTCCAGCCTCTCTCAGGGTCTGAGGCCATGATATCTGCATGGGCCTTGGGAATACATTTCAGCCCTCTCCCTGTATTGATAAAAGGCACAATTACAGGAACTCTAATAACTCAAAGTTCTCTCTCTGATCTCTGACTTCCATCATTTATTTGATGGGAATCAACCATGTATAAATAAATCATATATAGGACAAATGTGGATCAAGTACAGAAAATTAAGAAAAGTACAGTTAATGAGATTACAAAATAAATCTTACAAACAAGTAAGATAAAGATAAAACAGAAATCAGTATATTTTAAAATGTACTACTTTTTCTGGACAAAAGAACATTTGGTAAAAACATCCAAAACTTCACACTTGGAAGAAAATTTTTTATGTTTCATATTCTCTCTTCACAATGCCGCCCTCCCCAACCTTTTAAGCACTTAGAAACTTTGTCTCAATTAAGAAATTAAAAGATGTAACAGTATAATTTTAATCTTCAGTTTCAATTACAGCCTGATAGACAGATTGCAGTAAGTGATCAAATGAACAAATGGTTATTTCTGAGATACACATGAAATTCTGTGCAGCCATGTCTTTGCACCACTGTTAATGCACGCGTTCCGTGCAGCCTGCAGTTTTTACTCTTGACGCATTGGCATCACAAGTGCACTGTAATTTATCATCGCTCACTGTAATGTACTCGCTGGCACCATATGCAGGACAGTAGGGGATGAGGTAAAAGTGGCTCAAACCGTAAATCAATTAGAAAACAAAAGCTTGTGCTCAGTACGCAATTTTAGGCAAATTATATATTACAAAGGCTGCCAATTGGGTGTTAGCTCCCAGGTGCCTGCTTCTCCCCTCTTCTTAGGCCAGTTTTAACCCTTTGAAAGAAAAATTAAAATGTGAAAATAATCTTTAATCTTTAAAATGCATTACAAGCATGCTGGTACATGCCTGTAATCCTAGTACTCCAGAGACTGAGAGGATCAAGAGTTTGAAGCCACCCTGGGCTGCATACTGAGATCCTGTCTCAAAAAATAAAATAAAATTCATGTTTGTACAAGCAAAGTAAAATTAAAGAAGATACATTTTCAGGCAACATATAAAATAGTATCTTGCAAGCCCAGGGGCATTTTCTATCTGACATAGGAAGATGAGGAAACCGTAGCTCTGGGGAGGGAAAAAAATCAGTTAATAAGGTTAGCTATAGCAAAGATTTGAGAGCCAGAGGACTGACACTCCTCCCGTCTTTCCTCTGTGACAAGTGAAGTGTGAGGCTGTGCTCTCAGAGTCCTAGGCATGTTTTCCATTTAATGATTACAGTCTAGTAAGACAGGGTTCAGGCTTTTCCTTCAAAAGTACAAATCAGCAAACAAGGACCTCGTCTCCTTATGATGCTAGTCTGATCACAAATTACCACCCAAAAACTTCAACTGTAAAGGAACTCCATTCCTTTTGTTTAAAACAAAATGAAATTTCACATTATCTGATCTACTGGGAATTTTGCACATCCCAGATGTCTCTTTCCAACATCTAAGAGGTGGTCAATGTTGTTATTTTTAAATATTTTAACCCATTTCAACTATGGAATTTACTATGGTATTTTGAAAGTTGGTAAATTCCTATGTTGAATCCCATAAATACTAAGAATTTAACACCCTCCCCCTCAAAGAATGATTTATTAAATAGGAAAAGAGATGACAATTTAAGATTAGAAAGCTAAATCTCAAAATGCCTCAGGAAAAATCTTCCAGCACTGTTTATCTTTAAACAGTGTTGGACTCTACAAAATTACGAAGCATGGGGGACCTCCTGAGAGACCAGAGATGGAAGACTGGTTGTCACAATGTGCCCTTTGCTATGATCTGCATCCCTCCCTCCCTCCCTTCCTTCCTTTCTCCTTTTTGGTAATACTGGGGTTTGAACTTACAGCCTCATGCTTGCTAGGCATGATCACTTGACCCATGACTCCAGCCCTTTTCACTTTAGTTACTTTTCAGATAGTCTTTAGACTGGACTCAGATCCACCTTCCTATGCTTCCCAGTTACCACACCCAGCTGTTTATTGAGATGGGGTCTCACTAGCCTCCCTCCCAAACCACCCCCACCTCAAACTTCAATCTGGATTTCCACCTCCCAAGTAGCTGGAATTACAAACATGTACCATCACACAGGTCCCAAATTTACATACATTTCTAACTCAACCTCTAAGTTCATGTTCACAGTCTTGATGCGGTCATTAAAAAAAAAAAAAAAACTCAAGGAAAAAATGGGTAAATACATTTTTCAGATTGAATTTGGCTATTATTTTGGCTATTTGGTTATACAATATTGGCAAAAGCTGTTAGAAATAGTTGTTCTTTAAAAAACAGGGTGTGCCTACTGCACGAAATTCTGGTAGAAAAGCTATTCTGCCTCTGACACATGCACTTAACAGTTACATTGAAGCAAAATGTGACAGTGAAAGTAACTTCCACTGCAGCAGGGCTCTCACCACTGTGACACCAGCGCCACCTCCTGGCAGTACTGGGAGACTGGGTGCCAGCCAGGAGTTTTAGAGTTGCTCCCAGAGCAAAGCTTCTAACAGCAACTTACTGTAAACCAAAACTGGGTTTATCTAAAATGGCCACTGTTTCAGCTTAGACCTATCCTACACCTAAAATTATTAAAAAATGATCTTTAAACATTCAAATATCATCTAGGGCTAGTGGAGTCGCTCAAGCGGCAGAATGCCTGCCTCTCAAGCATGAGGCCCAGAGTTCAAACCCCAGTACTGCCAAAAAAAAAAAAAAATTCATCTATGAAAAATATTTTAATGTTGAAAATAAATGCTTCTGCTTATTCTGAAAAAATGAAAAAGGATAAGATGAATGTCCATTCCAAATAATTCTCACTTAAAATCTGGACAGAATGATTTAAAAAACCAAAACAAGCATTTCCCCTATTTCCAAGTTAAGGTTTAAGAACATATTCCAAAAATTAGATAAATTTGAAACTACTTGAAAGTTTTCAAAATGTCTTGGATGAAAGTATTTAACCTCTTGCCAAACAGAAAGGTACAACATCACAGCCTTTTGTCAACACAAGACACTGCTAACCTGTGCTTAGAAAGTAAAAATGTAACATTAAAACAGAAACCTTACTCTTGGTGACCAGCTGATTTTAGCTGGGACTGTAGCTCCCAAGACATAGATATATATGGGATGGCTGAGAATCATCCCCAAATAGCTTCATCTAGCCACTGTCAGAAAGATGACAGTGATGGTGCCACTACGGCACTGGGGCCCAAAAGGAACAGAGGAGGCCAAATTACTAACTGACCCCTCCAAGCCCTACTTAACACAGGTTCAAAAACTAGGCACAGTATTTGTTCTGCATTTTTAAGTGGTTGATGTTTCTGCCCTCATGAGAGTAATAAATGTTTGCAGCTGGGGAAGTGAACGCCTGCTGGAGCTCAAGATCAGACTGCAAGCAGTGAAAAGCTTGCTTTTAAAAGTGGTTCTGGACCCTTATGCAAAGCCAGTGGGCCAGTAGCATGCTTTTCCCACCCAGGAGGCCTTCCTTGTGAGATACAATAATATTGTGCCTACTATAAAATAATCACTATGCTTGGGAAAGATTAATATCTAAAATTGTTTGTTTGGCTTCAATAAAAAGAAGCAATATTGCTAAATATGTAAGTATGACATTTTGAAGAATTTACCATATTGCATGGGTCTGGTAGCGATGCTTAAGGAAATTAAAAAGCACTACAGTCAGCATATTTGATCCTTATTAAAGTTCTATCTTAAACTATCACTCACATAAAACAAAAATAAACCAAGAAGAAATTTAAATAAAACCTATGGATTGTAAGTGTTTGAAGATGAAAAAATGAACGATATTCTGGATTTAAAAAATTGATTTAGCATGCAGCTTCTCTTTATAGTCCCTTGATAAAAATGAAATCTCTCTAACAAACACTTAATAAAACCTGTCAATATCTCTGGAAAGAAAAATGACACAAATGCATTAAGTATTAAATACCCTTGGAAAAAGTCACATATTCCATGAATTTTTGATGTACTATCTTGACATTAATGTAAAACCTTGATATTTATAATTGACAGATATTTAATAAAGTATAAAAGAAGATGGCTGCTGCGCAGCATGCAAATTTTCCAGGCTGATCAGCGACGAGAGATACAGGCGTGCACTTACACTAAACAAACAGCTAATATGTGTCACACAAATCAGCTGTAGTCTTATTTTAAGCTCATACAACAAACCTTTGTGGAGAACCAAAATAAGCAGAATTTATTATTATGTGAATTCCTAATCCAGAAACACCTAGAATGTGAAGCAGCTTTGAAACATTAACAGCTTTGCACGGAAACAAAATACATTTAAGTCAAGGGTGTTTTTGTTTTTACCAATGAGAAATAAGCATTTAAAAATAAAGAAAAGTACTTTCATGAATACATGGAGAGGTATTTCCTAACCTAATTCTTATAGAGAACAACTTTGACCTAAAGAAGGAGCCAAGGCTCTGAAGAAAAGGAGGAGTAGAACACACAGGGCTTGTAAGACACAAGCACTTGCAACACTGGACCCTCGCTTTTCTAAAGAATGCCTCTCTATCTATACCGATGAATGTGAGGAAATCAAGTTGAA